AAAAATGTTGCTGTGACGAAGTCAAAGGGAAAAAAAAGACGAAAAGAAAAACTTGAAGAAAAAGCAAAAGCTCTAACAATAAAAAGAATAAGAAAAAAAAATGCATGACGATTACATATAGTTAACTGAAAGGACGTACTAAAAGATTATTTTTTAAGAGGGTATAGCATACAAAAAAATTTTGAGCTGGGAGAGCTTATAATTATACGCGTTGTGTTAGCGTAAACGGTATGAAAGAAGAACCACATGAGCTCGAAACTTGTGAGATTCCTCATCATCCTAAGCAATCATGATCTCATCGCAGCTCGTGCGGTTCTTCTTCCATGTTTCCTGCACCAATACCTATGTTATGTCTTTGTAGTTCATACTGTTTATGCTGCCACAACGCGTATAATTAAGCTGTCCCAGCTTAAATTTTTTTGTGTAGAAAAAGAAATGATAGGAGAAATAAAGTTTCGAATCAAAAAAATTGAAAAGAAAATAAAAAAATTGGTAAAAGGCTGTGTATTGTACAAGCATTACAGAGTATTTGTAAGATTCTTATTACTGTACAAAACAAAATGACGACTTTCCAGCATTCTTTTCAAATCTTGCTTCTTTCTAGGCTAAATTGATACCTCAAAATTTTGCGTTTGATTAAATTACAATATTTACTATGTATTCAAATCTAGTTTCTACAATATGTTAGGTAATTTATGTTTTCTAAAAAAAGATGGACCGTTTTCATCTGCTCTCGCGCCGCTTTTGCCGCCGCCTAAGCTTCCTACATTTTTTCTTGTGTCTCAGCACCTTTCCGCATTTCGGACAAGGCGTTCGTCCACCGGACAAGCGAACGCGCCCGACGTGCTGGACGAGATTACCCTTGAGCTACTCACGGAGCTTTTCACGCTGTTTTGCACGAATCCCGAGGTGTGCCTGCAAACCCGCCTGGATACCTATAGGGTGCAAAATTTTGAGAATATCGGTATGATCGCGCGGTTTTTTCTTTCTTTCCCCCCCTCCAAGGACAGGTGAACTAAAGTACCTGGCGCACCCAAGACTGCTTCCGTGTTAATCAACTGGTCGACGATTGTTTCTGGCTTGACCAAAATATCGCGGCTGTTGGTGCTTCCTGAAAGGATACATACGTCGATCGTCAGTGTTCCTTTTGGCAAAGGATAATTATTGGGCGCTTTGAGGGTAAAAGTTGTTAAAATCTGATTTTTTTTTTTTTTTTTTTTTTTTTCATT